GTTAGGAAAAAAAAAAGTGCTCCACCATCGGGCTGCTCTGCCAGGAAAGGGAATGACCTTTGAGGGCAAGGTGGAAAAATTCGGCTCTGGTACGGGGCCCCGAATGGCCTGATGCAATTATCCTTGTAAACACTTTCTCGGTCAATTTCAGCGCAGCTTGCCAGCCAATGTTCGTATGATGATGATTGTCATACCGGTTCCAGCTTTTATATGAGTGGTTTGTTTTACTAGCCCCACTGTTAATAAGTGATATGACACAAACCCGGCCTTAGGCAACTTGCGCATTGCTTCGGCCTCTGCGCTGCCGCTCGACGTGGAGCATCGCCTGATTCAAGGCACGTGCCCTGCCCGTGTTGTCTTGCGACATTCCCCTTCTAATGATTGTAAGCGAGGGGTAGTGGATTACGAGTCCGTACTAACTGTACTGTATGGAATACCTAACTGAAGGCTGTCGCAAACGGTGCCTCAAATCCGGTTAGCAGCAGGATGGGAAGATGTGCAGGTACGCCTTTTTGCAAGCGTCAGCTCTGTCCTTGTATACATGCGTGACATTCGTGTTCATGATTATTGTGATGGAGCTCCAGGTCAGGTGAATACTTGCAGTTGTAGATCCTGTCTGTCCGGCTGTGCCATGCAGCATATACAGCATGTCGGGGTAATGATGGCCAGCGACAAGATCTACACCTCACATCAGTGCATGCACTAGAGTGAAAAGTCTTGATGTCAATGTGCGTTGGGCCGGAGGCCAGCCGACGCGAATCGAGGGCGAGCATCCAAGGCGGGTGACAAAACCATCGTTTCGTGCTTCTGGGCTTTGGACCGGACGACGAGATAATATACAACATTATAATATATGATAGTATATTATGATATGATACAATACATTAAGATATGATAGCATATTATAATATAATATAATACACTATAATATATGATAGTGTATCTGCCAGCTCTGTGGTGCCGCGCGTAAAGATGTGAATCGTTTCAGGACGCTCTACACGGTCTCGATCGGTGAGGTGCTGCTTGTCGCAGGAAAAGTTCTAGAAAACTCAGGGTAGGCATTGCTAAGAAGATATTAAAAGCCATGCACCTTCACTTGCAGTATGACTGTTGACGCAGATCTGTGTATCAGGGTGTTTCTGCGTGCTTCAGCCCTCTTTGGCTATGTTCTGTCCTATTCCATCATATCTAATAGAGTTTTCTTATCAATTACAGGGTATTCTAAACGCTCAGCGACGCAGACGCATATTCTTCTATTTCTAAACTGCACGGCGATATCGCTCACTGCCCCGTTAACCTGCAAGATCGGCACATGTACCTCCTTAACTGGCAACCTGGGCGGCCGACCCAGATCCATGAGAGGCCATGTCGTGCGGAGACCAGTCCATCGACGAGGGGAGCGAAGCTGCATGCCTGCATGTCCTCGAACATTACGGCGCTCAGCTGGGGCGCTTGGGACGCCTTGGGACCCCGGGCTGTAGAGGCTTGTGCTGAGCGCCCGAAACCCAAAGCCTTAGACCGGGCTTTCAAATTTGGTCTTCCTACCAGAAGTCCATACCAAGGTCCCTTGGCATGCCCACGAAGCCAGTGAGGAAGTTCTGCGCTGCATGGCGGGCACTGGCAGAATCTACTGCGGGGACGTGGTGAAGGATTCCTGACTCGGCCATCTCTTTTCGTGAGCCTTGCGCATGATTTCCCGTGCGCCAGGACTTCCTTCCTGGCATCACGGTGTCCTTGCCTCAGAGAGTCTCTGCGAGAGTGCATTGTATGCAGTGTTTGCCCTGAAATCCTGCCAACATGCCGCGGATTCGACACTGACAGGCTGGTTCCCAAGCAAACGCCACATCGAATCGTCAACTGCTCATGGTCCGAGAAGCTCCGTGGCCTCCAAAAGGCGAAGAAGGCTGAGCATGCTCAAAGCTTCAGGGTCGTCAAGTTCGTCATGCACCACCGAAAGAAGTATGCCAGTATACTTCTCCAAAACTAGCCCCATACCAAACACCAAGTTCTTGGTAGAGTTGCCCGATCGGTCAGAAAAGTCTACTATCTCACTCCGAACCAAAACGGCAGCACCTTAGGCTGTGGCTTTCCTGGACGCTGTCCCCGCCACAGTCGACGAAGCAGTTCCAGGCCTGGTCTGTTTCGCATCACAGTATGCTTGGCTGATCCTGGTGTTTGAGTCCATCACCATCACAAGAAGTGCCGTGTCCATGCTACCAATGCAAGCATCCATGCCCAGTGCATGATAGCGTCCGCACCAGCATTGAGGCTCACCTAGAAGGCCAAGGCATGAACCCTCAGCTTGTGCAAAGCATGTGGGTATGCCACCCTACAAGCAAGCCATCCTTTCTGCAGGGGATCGAAATCCTGTGTTGCAACATATTCGTAAGACCAGGATGGGTTGGCGCCGCGAATCGCAAGGGATTGCATGAAGGAGCAGCGTTATACCGATGTTGCACATTTCTGCTTTTCTCTGAAAGCCGTGCGGGAACTTATGCTTCAAGCAATCAACAAGGCAATCGCAGCACCAGCACCAGCACCGCCAGCACCAGCGCCAGCAACAACAGCAACAGCCGCAGCCACCGGTATCGTCGTCGTCGTCGTCATCGTGGTCTCTGCTTCGTGTGAGGCCGGGGAAAACCGAGTTCAGGCTGGCTGAGGACAGGTGAGTGCCAAATGCAAAGGTTTGGGGTGGAATCTTAATGTGCAGAATCTGGAGAAACACATCTGTCATGACATGACGGCTAAAGACATCATAAGCTGCGGACTCTCGGCTGCAGGAGTAGCCGTGTCCTTTCTGGCAACACCTTGCACAGAAGCTGGCGAAGAGCCTTGTACAGCACGTGCACTTGGAAAGTTTGGGTGTCCAATGCACTATGCATGGTCACCGTTCCGATTAATCTTTCCGTCTGCACCTGGCCGAAAGACTGATGATGGTGATTCGGGTTCTTTTGCGGGCGGTATGTTGCCTGACAGCAGGCGAGTTGTGAGCGCAGAGGCGCAGTAGAGCAATTCTGCCGCCACAACTCACCATCGGCGTGAGCAAAAATTCTCGTCAATCGCAGCCGAATGACCCTTTCCTATGCCTTGGCAATTCTTTTCACAACTGTCCAGGAAGATGTCCCTGATTGTGATTTGTCAGGTCGTGCCCAAATAGACGACCTGCATGTACATCGAAGCCTTTGTAATTGTTGGTCGACGAGGTCGTCTGTAAGACGATCATGAACTCACCTAACTTGCCGGGTAGATGTCCACGACTCCAGCACCTGATGATTAGTTGAGCTTCAGTCTTCATGCCCACCTTTGGACAGAAGGTTTTGCAGTGGGAGAAGGGAATACCGCATCAGCTGAATTATGCTGCGAACGGTGCAAGACATTCAAGAGAGAAGGCCCATCACGAAGGATCGTGAAGTTTGTTGCCGGTTGGCGGAAGCGCACAGGTGTGGTCATCTTGAAGCATGAGTGTCTGTGCAGCGTCCACGAAGCAATTTTTCATGCATGAATTCAAGGCTTCGTTTGGACACCTCCTGGGGCACACTGTTTGCGACTAACCAGAGCCCCAACCTGTCAAGTCAGGAGTCGGGTCTCGTCGCGCGCTGATCGCCAGAACCTCCCCGTATGCCAACCCTCCGGCTTTGTCAGGCGCAGATCCCATCACTGCTGCTACGGTCCGGGACTGAGTTGCCGCAACTGCCCCAAGCAAAACTCGGTTCTAGAGTTCGCGTCGTGGGTGTACAGCTTACATATGTTCACGTGCAGCGCCTAAACTTAGGGCCTAAACCCCAAACCGGCTCAGGCACTTGCAGGCTCAGGTAGAACTCACTGTGGGAACTCGCAAGCATGGCGGACTTCAAGTTGAAGGTGGATGAATCCAACAAGGCAACAGAGTTGCCTTTGCTCCGCATTTGCGGCACTGTTCAGCAAAATCCACACATGAGGGCGTTCTGGGGAAGCGTCTTCTCCTTCTTCCTCGCCTTCTTGGGTTGGTTTGCGTTGGCCCCATTGGGACTGGAGGTGGCCACCAGCATCGACAT